CCCCCTCCGGACGTCATTTTGTTTGCCGCCCTTAAAAGGACTTTTGGAGTTTGCGAGCTTTCACTCATACCTCCGTTCAGCAAAATTCCTACCTTCTAGTGCATACGTTTCACTGCCCCGAGAGCGGGCGCACAGCGGGTTGTGTTTAAACGACACCCTCTTAACCGGTCCTACGTTACAAGACGATTTGTTTTCCTTGATTCTAGGCTTCAGAACACACGCTTATGTACTCACAGCCGATATAGAAAAAATGTTTAGACAAGTAGTTTTACATCCGAAGGACACAGTTTATCATAAAATATTATGGCGTAAAAATCCGAAGGACGCGATTAAAACATACCACCTCAATACAATCACGTACGGTACATCCTGCGCTCCGTTTCGCAGTTCGTTGCTTGCAACAATTAGCTAGCGATGAAGGGGCGTCATATCCTTTAGCAGCAAGCAAACACCATTGAAAACGATTTTTACATGGATGACCTATTAACCGGAACACGGACCCTAGACGACGCCATAAAACTCAGGGAACAACTAATAGGTATCCTCAAGGCCGGCGGTTTTAATCTACGACAATGGGCATCTAATGAGCCATCGCTTATTGAAGGCTTCATGGGACAAACCACGGACGAATACCTTTATTTAGATAGTAATAACATAAAGAAAACCCTTGGAATTTGCTGGAAGCCTCGCGAAGACAATTTTACTTATCGAGTCAATATAACCAATCGCGAAGCGCAAGAGACCAAACGTACTATGCTATCAAAAATAGCACAGATATTTGACCCATTAGGATTACTTGGACCAGTAGTGGTAAGAGCGAAAATCTTTTTCCAACAATTATGGAAAACTAGCTTAGATTGGGACGAGGCAATTCCAACCGACCTATTCGCCTTGTGGAAGGACTTCTTGACTGAATTACACACATTAAACAATTTCAAGGCCCCAAGAGAAATATTAATAAGAAATCCAAAACGAATAGAATTACACGGCTTCTGTGATGCTAGCGAAGTCGCGTATGGAGCATGCATCTTTTTAAAATCCGAAAATGACCGAGGAGATACAGCGATACGTTTAGTTACCGCCAAATCTAAGATAGCCCCACTGAAAACTATTTCAATTCCACGATTGGAATTATGCGCGGCCGAGCTTCTCATTAAATTATACCGTGCTGTATCTAACGCATCAAAAATCCATTTTGATTCAATCCATTTCTGGTCCGATTCTACAATAGTGCTACATTGGATCCGCTCACCGCCTCACACCTTAAAAACATTTGTTGCCAATCGGATAACCAAAATTCAACAGCATAGCACTTCAACCAATTGGGCTCATATAGCGTCAACCGACAATCCCACGGATTCTATATCTCGTGGACAATCACCTTTAGAATTTTTAAATAATTCGTTATGGTTAAATGGACCGACGTGGCTAGCTGACATACCTGCGCGATGGCCTGTAAAACCTTTACCTAATATTGTAATACCTGAGCAACGCCCTAGCACTAACCTACTCGCGTCCAAGGAGGAATTAGACCTTCAAAGATTTTCTTCATTTAAGACCCTTCAAAGGATAATAGCTTATTGTATACGCTTTCACCGAAACACTACAAACAAGGTAAAAATAACGGGACAAATCACTACCGCGGAATTGTTGAAGGCTCATCAGGTCATCATAAGGTATTTACAGAAACGTTCCTTCGCGAAGGAATTAGAAACACTAAGGAAATTCAAAACAGTAAAAAAGGATAGTGCTATATTTTCGCTATCTCCCTTCATCGATTCAGAAGGTATATTACGTGTCGGTGGACGTTTACAGTATTCAGATTTAGAATATAGCCAGAAACACCCAATACTACTGCCGCGTTTTGAACATCTAACGCAATTGATTATCCGAGAACAACATGTCGAAGCTAAACAGGCAGGTATCCTGGGTACGCTGAATGTCATTAGAAACAAATATTGGCTCATTGATGGCAAAAATACCACAAGGCATATTGTTCGTCAATGTATTCAATGTTTCAAGGCAAAACCGGGAAGCATGCCGGAATATCCGATGGGTAATCTACACAAGGACCGCGTGACCGCAATAAGACCATTCCAGGTAGTAGGGATTGATTACTGTGGGCCATTTTTTATGAAAGAGAAAAAATTTAGGAATACTAAAATACTGAAGGTCCACATAGCTGTCTTTATTTGTTTCGCGACCAAGGCAATTCATCTCGAAGTCGTTAGTGATTTAACAACCGAGGCATTCTTAGCAAGTCTGAAAAGGTTCTTTGCTCGGCGTGGCTACTCTCAAATTATTTATTCAGACAATGGCACTAATTTTGTAGGTGCAAAAAATAAACTGTCCGAACTATTCGCACTATTAAGAACAGAGAAACACAACGATAAAATATCGAGATACTTAGTCGACAAAAATATTCAGTGGAAATTTTCACCTCCCAGATCTCCTCACTTTGGAGGTCTATGGAAATCCGCGGTAAAGTCATTCAAGGGCCACTTAGTTCGTACCATCGGAAATACTATGTTTACCTACGAGGCGTTCTCGATCGGTCCGGTTTCGATTTTGATGAAACTTTGTACACTTATAAAGCAGTCAAAAATAATCGACACGTATTTTTTTTTAGCTGCGGTAACTCGAGTTTAAGGGGTGAAACCACCCCTTGAAATTTTGGCTCGAAACGGCTATCTCGAAAACGGTAAGTCATACGAAAAAATTGTTAATGGGCGAGGTTAATGGTTTCTGACGTACAATAACATGGTGTTAAAAAATTTAACAAAATACAGTTTGTTTATAACAAAAAAAATTTATTAACTTAATTTTTCATTTTATTGAAATTTTCATAATGACAAAAAATGACGAGCATTTTATTCCAAATCCATTAGTATATAACATTTTAAAATTGCCTCTTACAGTTTTGCAGATTTTGATGATTTACATATTGCGCACACATCCACTATGGTAGTAGCCGTTCTAACTTTCATTTTAATGAAGCACTGTAGGTTTGCACTAAATTATACAGTAACAAGTAACAAATAACAATGACAGTAACAAGTTTCTTAACAGCAATGAAAAGATTAATTGTTTTTATTATTCACCTATGACATGGTGGCACAGGTGGAGCGATTTATAAATTATAAGTACATACAGTGTGGGTATGCAATTTCACCTTAAGAGTAATAAAATGTATTCAGTCGTTTCGAGTTTTTCAAACAATAGCTTAGACTTTCACTTTCGTTCATTCAAACATCACGTCACCGCAAATATGGCATCTTGGTTCATTTTCAACAGAATAGCAGTATTCAACAGGATTCTGGAATGCATTTGGTTTTTCATCTATATATCCGGATTTATACCAGGAGTATTTAATAAAATTTTGGAACCTTGGCGATGAAAATTGATTGTGGACCAGAGATTGAAGTTTGATTATATTAATCCTAGCGTGGAGATTAATGTCGTGATTTAAAATGAGAACTATAATATATCGGAAAATCGGCGGACGAAATTTTTCCAAGTGCGGAAACCGTAAACATCCAGTGGTTGAACATACTTTGTTCCACCTTTTGGTATTGTTACGCGGCACGTCGGTAGAAACAATGACTTTATGAAGCCATTGATTCTCCATCGCATTCCTTATAAGTCCCTGTTTTTTCACCGATGACCGAGGTTTAGAATTTTTACTTTGTTTCTTTCATGTATTGTTCACCTCAGAGTGCTTCGTAAGTTTATTGCCTGAACCGTTCCGGGTTTCGAGGCAAGCGGATTTTCAAAAGGATTAATTGTTTTTATTATTCACCTATGACATCGTGGCAAAGGTGGAGCGATTTATAAATTATAAGTACATACAGTGTGTATAGCAATTATTCTATGTAGTTTCGACAATAGTGGTACTCGTCGAAAAAATGTTTGAGACATAAAGATTTCTTACACCATGCGCATTTAATTATTGCCACGTCACCGCAAATATGGCATCTTGGTTCATTTTCAACAGAATAGCAGTATTCAACAGGATTCTGGAATGCATTTGGTTTTTCATCTATATATCCGGATTTATACCAGGAGTATTTAATAAAATTTTGGAACCTTGGCGATGAAAATTGATTGTGGACCAGAGATTGAAGTTTGATTATATTAATCCTAGCGTGGAGATTAATGTCGTGATTTAAAATGAGAACTATATCGGAAAATCGGCGGACGAAATTTTTCCAAGTGCGGAAACCGTAAACATCCAGTGGTTGAACATACTTTGTTCCACCTTTTGGTATTATAAAAAGTTTTACATTTTTACCCTCGGGAGTAACTTCGTTCAGTGTCTTCTTTCAGTGACCATTCCAGGAATCAAGAATTAGAACTGTTGTGGGCCCAGTATTTGCGAAGTAAATCTCTCTTAACCAGGTCTTGAAATGGTCCGTAGTTAATTTTCCTGACTTTGAAGCTGCAATATATACATTGTCAGGGCGAAATAAATGTTGTTCCACAATCGGCCCGAAATGTCCTGTACTCTCTTTGAGTACAATAAATAATGGTGACAGTAATTGTCCATCAGCTGAAATGGTTGGCTGGATGGTGTAACTATGAGTGGTGGATGACACTGATTGAACCCCTCCTTCTACGATTTTTATACCTTCTTCAGCCAAAGTGCGCCCTGAATGTAATTCCAAATTAAAACCACTTTGATCGGAATTGTAAACATTGAGTGGTTCATTTCGGGCTATATATAATTTTACTTCATTCACGAATGCGCTACATTGCAAATGAATATCGTCTTCTCGATTTACCATATTAGTGGTTACAAATCTGGTAATTTTTCTGGACACTAATCTAAACGTCTTTTTAAAAGTATCTAGCCAAGTATGTCCGGCTTTAAATGTTTGTAAATTTTCTATATCTCTCTCTTGTAAAGCCCATCGCCGTAGATCTACTTCATGCACAATTACTCTTAACTGCCGAGCTTCCATAAATTTATTAAATGTATACTCTGCAATACGTTTTACCTTTTCCTTTTTTGTGCCATCCTGTTCAACTTGTAAAGCCCACTTACGAAGCATTCTTTCGGAATTTGGAACGCACGGTGTCTAATTTTAATCGCTTCGACATACCGCTGTTCCAGTACGCCACAGCTTTCCTTTTATATTCGAATGGGATGTATTCCTTATTCGAATGACATACAACGTTTTCTTCGTACATGTTTGGAACATTCGGTGTCCTATTTTCCTCCTCTTCATCTAACCAGTTCAAATCAGCATCCTGAATTTCTTGTTCCATAGGCGTCCCGTCCATTTCAACACACGTTTCATGTTCAACCAGGAATGCTGTGTCTTCGACACTTCTTACAATTAAATCGAATAATACGCTATTAATTGCTGTGGGTCCCTGGTTCCACTCAACAAACGCAGCAGACAGTAAAGTTATTACATTAATAGGATTAATATTTACAATCTTTCCGAATACTCGCGTTTTATGATCGTTAACAACTGAACTGTATGGGTGACCAACAATGTTCTACACGCTTATAAAGAGCTAATTGCAATATATATATATATTTCCAAGTTCTCCCACTTGTCTACCAACAACTATTATTTTCACATGACAAGGGCAATCAATTTAATTAACATTACAATATGTCACGTTATCAAAAAGTACGAACTCCATTACAATATACCCGTTTTATCATGTTTATTACAAAAATCGTCTCGGTTTTAAAGAATGTTAATAACAACAGAGATAAAGATGCACATATTAATCTCATTTGACAAGTATTTTTATTGTGCAGATTACACAAAATGCTTTCAGTGAAGATTTACATAACGTGCGGAAACTGCATGATAGGCGAGCCACAAAAATTACAATATTCATTTATTCAATTTGCATATTAAAGCAAGTATGTCATGAGAAAAATAAGTACATCTTTATCTATATAATTTTATACTGTATACTGTATAATTTCGTGCAAGCCTACAATGCTTCATTAAAATGAAAGTTAGAACGGCTACTACCATAGTGGATGTGTGCGCAATATGTAAATCATCAAAATCTGCAAAACTGTAAGAGGCAATTTTAAAATGTTATATACTAATGGATTTGGAATAAAATGCTCGTCATTTTTTGTCATTATGAAAATTTCAATAAAATGAAAAATTAAGTTAATAAATTTTTTTTGTTATAAACAAACAGTATTTTGTTAAATTTTTTAACACCATGTTATTGTACATCAGAAACCATTAACCTCGCCCATTAACAATTTTTTCGTATGTCTTTCCGTTTTCGAGATAGCCGTTTCGAGCCAAAACTTCAAGGGGTGGTTTCACCCCTTAAACTCGAGGTTACCGCAGCTAAAAAAAAATACGTGTCGATTATTTTTGGCTGCTTTATAAGTGTACAAAGTGTCATCAAAATCGAAGCCGGACCGTTCGCGAACATTCCTTGTTAGTACAATTGTAACCGAAATAGAAGCAGTCCTAAATTCCAAACCCCTAACTCCATTATCTCCTGATCCAAATGATTTTTGCGCCCTCACTCCTGCCCAGTTCCTGATAGGTGAGTCGTTAATGAGCCTACCAGAGTATGATTTTACTTGCACACCCACTAATCGTCTCTCAGTCTGGCAGCACACCCAAGGGATAAAGCAGCATTTCTGGTCCAGATGGTACAAGGAATACCTAAACGAACTAAACATTCGAACAAAATGGCGCCAAAATTCAGCAGGTCGTTTAAAGGTGGGAACCTTGGTGCTTATCAAGGAAGAAAATTTTCCACCATGTCAATGGCGCCTGGGCCGCATCTGGGAGATTCATCCCGGGGAAGACAACATTGTCCGAGTGGTCACCATAAGAACCAACCATGGGATGTACAAGAGAAGCGTAAAAAACATTTGTCCCTTACCAATAAGGGAGGAGATACCCGACCTGAGCGTATAAACGTTCCAGTAACAATATATTTAAGTATTTACTATGTAATCAATGTTAGGATAATATTGTCTAAACGTACTGTAATTTAGTAATTATAACCGTTCAATAATTTATATCAGTAATCGACCATCTTACCGACACGATATGCAAATCACCGTCTTCTATTGTATATTATTTATCTTATATTTATTCATTGTATATTTATTGAACGCGATCGTTCAAGGCGGGTGGCATGTCGTGTCCTCAACACGAACCACGCGACCGATCACCCCCACCGTTGACTTGCATCGCTTCTATCTACCTGCCAATAAGGGTTCGCGAAAGAGGCATTTTTCTAGGAAAGGCGTTGATTGGCCCTTTTCAGAATATGTACGGAGAGAAGCAGAGCGTGTACGGAGTGTACATATTAAAAAAAACCGAACAACGTAGTTTAA